CTCCTATCATTAAGGTTCATTAAAATCAGCACGACTACACTGCTTATGACTTCTGCCGTGCTGACTACTTCCATTAATCTCTTGTACAATAACTCCACTAAGAACTTTAGTCAGTGGTTGGTATGTTCATGACAGTAAGGATAGGTTTTGGAACGGGCTCCGCAAACAGCAAGCGGTAGAAAGTGTCATACGGGAATTTGGGTAGCATAAAATTAAGCACATGGGATCTCACAGGACGACACTGGGGAAAGCGGCCAAAAAGCATCTTGCACTTAAACAAAACTTGATTTGTAGGGCTTTTACGTTCAGATAATAAGCGGAAACTAACTGCGAAATATAAAAGAGAGCCAACGGTCATTTCTCATGCAACTTCGAACGCATTGGATAGGATTGTTCGGGCCCCTTTCAAATGTTGAAAAGCTGAAAGACCTTGACTTCCTCCCTTAAATTATCGCCACAGTGTCAAAGGGTAGCGAAACGCGCGATAGGGTTTTATTTGAGCTGCAGCGAGGATTTGTGCAAATCGATGAGGGGCTGGTTGGGAAAAACTAGGGAAACTTCTTTCCGTCTCACTTATAGTATACAGTCCAGGCCTAGCCACCGTGGTTCAAGAGGAGATATCAGCATCTGGAAAGAGTGCAGGAGATGGCTCCGAAAATAATCAGTAGTCTGCATCACATACCTGACGAAACCAGACTGGCTTAATTAAATTCGGCTCCTCTCAATTGCAGGCAAATGCGTGGCAATCTTACTTAAATCCACAGGATCGTCAGAGGCCGTCAGTGTGCTGGGAACTTTGACGAATATTTTACATTGACTGGGACGGGCCGTCTGCGTGGACATCCCTTTAAACTGCAGGGGAAGGTGGCCCATACAGGCGTCCGACGGAACGCCTTATCGCAGAGGGACATTAGATCATGGATCGGCCTCCCTGATGCACTGTTTTTTTTCGAAATTGTTCAGTCATTTAAGAGCAGACTATACGTTTGTTTTCAGAGAAACTTGTGTACACATAGTCACGATTATGTCAGCGGCGGCAATTCACACTCAGCTCACACATCGATAACTTTTGAATCCTCAGAACCACTGATGTAACAATTAATTCTGTTGTCGTTTTAGATATAATTAAGGAGCTCAGGGGCGAAAGGCTTATTGCCTTAATGAACCCACTAAACTGACTTAGACAGGGGCTATCGCTAGCGCGGATCCCAGATGGGGATAGTGTGAGCCAACGTCGGCGTTGATGGCCGGCGTTCCCTACCTCCATACAACTGACATTACTCCTCTGTCGCTAGTCATTCATGGCTTGTATCCTTCGCTGTCAGCGCACGTAACGACACTTCCTCGCAGTTGCCGACAGGGTTACCTTGACCATCGGTGTTCAACGGATAATGGATACAGCACTTCATCGTTCCCCTGTATTGTTATATCTCACTTTCGCGTCTCTATCCTTCTGTTGGCACAGCATTAACTCTTGTGCTCCTAAACTCCCCTTACTTATTATATACATTCACGCGCGCCTGGTGTGCTGTTTAATACTTTCGTTAGTGAACAGAGCTCACTACCCTACGAAACGTGGCTATCAGATCTCGGCCTTTTTCCACTGAATTACAGACAGCTAAGAGGCGACCTTATACAAACATTCCGTTATTGCTCGGCCAATACTGCTTTCTCTTACCTCTTGATTTCTTGGAGTTAGCAACCACAACGAACATACGAGTTCATTCACTTAAACTACGTGTGACTGGCGCCAGGCTGGACATGCAGAAGTTCTTCTTTTCAAACAGAGTGATCGAGGCTTCGAAGGATCTGTCTAAACGTATCGTCATGTCCACCACCGCCGAGGCTTTTAAGCGCAATTTGGACTAGTATACCGCTAAACTTCATAATGTCACCTGACCAATATCACCTTAGCATTTTGATTGAAAAATTTATTAACGTTATTATGTTACTGCCCATGTTTCAGTAACGTCTGCCTTTTATTATGATTATCCCAAGTCCGTTGAATGTCAGTGTTGGCATCCAATTTGTCTCCTTTAACAAATGGAATCTCACCAATTATCCATAGGTTGACTACTGTACAGCACATTTAGTAACGCAAAAGTTTTTAGCACTTGGAACAATTCATTCACTTGACTGGTTTCGAAAAGTCGACCATTCCAAAAAAACTTCCTTTGTTGTTTGATATTTCTATTTTCAAATTTTTAATATAATTCGCTCCCGTGTAACAAACGGAGTTCAAATGTTCAACACCTATTTTCCCTCAAATAAACTGAAAATGAAACTGAAAAAAACCCACCCCACGACACAGATGTAAGTGTGCACGGTCTACCGCCGATAAAAAACGCATTGTCGGGCGCTTCCGTGAACGAAACATACGCATTATGTAAGATTACTGTCGACCAACGGGGTAACATTAAAGACCGTGCGATTCCATCATCGTCCTTCAACAACATCGAAGATGATGGTAAGTCAGGCAGACGTCTCTCACTGTACCGTCTGAACTTCTGTGCGGCGACGTTAGTTGGCCCTTTAATGCAGTTACGAACGTTTTGCAAAATGGATTCAAACGATAATGGAGAAAACCGGTCTACAACTCCAAGACGATTGACATCGTCGGGCAAGTGAGGAAGAGCATGGACATTGTAAACAGCAGCAGCATCGTTGTATAAAAATGGGAAATCAGAAACAAAATTATTCACCAAAAGGCGAGCAAAATCTACGTGGGATCTATGCAAGCTCGGGCGACAAAATCTATAAACAACAATGGACAGGTGCAAAAAATGCTTGTAACGTGACTAATTTAAAAAAAGGAGGCAAAAATAGGACCAATAGACAGTAAATGTTGCCTGTATTCGGCGGACTTCCAATAGCAAGACAGGCAGGAGGTCTGTATATGCGTGAAACTTCAGCACGCAAACATTGACTGCATGTCTTGATGGTTAGGTTCAGTTCGGCGGATGACCTGTCGGCTCTCGGTCGCCATAAATGCATGACACACAGACAGACAAGATGCATATAATCGACTGGAAACGAGGCAACCATATCAATAGGCAAATCTTCGAACGGTGATATGCCTTTGTGATGTGTCGCCTGACTTCGCAATCTAAATTACCTGTCATCCCGTAATTGTCCACTATACTTTGGAAATGTCATGGGGTTGGCAATGGGTCTGCCCAAAAGTACTTGCTATTATTTTTACAAAATAAAATACCTGTCGCATCCGTAAAAGCCATTTTGGGCTTACACCTGCCTGACATAAAACCGGCAGGCGTGTCGCAGATGACATTTTCGAGAGCCACGCTGGGAAGATCATCCTTCGGCGAAAGACGCAGACCACCACTTAGGGGGTCCTTCAATTCAGACACGCAGTCCTCCAAGAAATTCTCCAAGGGGTCAGGCTTGCCAGGACCCGAGCAAACCCAGACGACGAAAGGTCGGTCAATAACCGGACGACTAGAACGACTAAGTATAGGCGAAAGGTTTCGATTGGAACCCTTAAAAATCTCACTTCCGTCAAGTTGCAATTGAAGGCAAATATCCGGAATTTTGGTTGCTGACCGACGGTGCAGTTCGTCCAGCAGACCTCGTCCAAGGTCCAAATGGACATAGCACACGTTCTTCAGAGGTTTGCCTATGCATGATCGAGGGTTTTGCAATAGCGTCCATGTGTACGTCCGGGTCGTAGGGCCGTAACATATTAAACAGCTTCTTTGCTACATAAAGTGGCATTTAGATGTCGAGGTAGAATTCTTGCAAATCCGTCAGAAAACAATTGCCTTCTACTGAGTTCGTGCTAACCACCTCCTCAGCTGTCTCTTTACCCATTGTTTGGTTACACACGTAAGGAACCTCTAGAGACCGTATGATCTTCTAGATTCAAGACCGCGTATGATGTTGATGGGACAGAGCACTGAGGTCCATAAATGGCGGCATAGAATGCCAGCATGTCCCGCTTAATGTGCTTGTGGATAGAGCTCCGGCCGTATCTCAAGTAGCTACGCGTCATATTTACTTTCCCTGGAAAACAGAAAAGTAATGCATATTGGGTATACGTGAAGCTTAAACGGTCAGAATTCCTTCAGTTACCAATCAGTTACTTAACCTAACTGACACCCGAGAACTCTAAAATAAAACTATAATCAAAATAATAACAGTTTGCACACATAAAAAAATCAAAAGGATTTGGTTTTACGTACCTCTGTTTCAACACTTGTTAGAAATGAAAAGGCATTCAAAGGACGAGCATTGCTTACCAAGCAGCTTACTCAGCAGATAAATGCTCAACCTGTGATGCACTTAAAAAAGCGGCGTTTTTAATCATCGATGGAAAGAGCACCCGAGCAGGCTTCGACGGCCAGTGTATGCGTTATTGATGATTTATTTAAGACTAATTGTCCTATTATTGCGGTAAAGTATACTTCTGTACGCTGATTAGTATTTACCTTTAATTCATGATGCATGCATTAAAACACAGGAGGCATGCCCCATACAGCCCCCTCAAGGTCCCACCAACCGAGGGGGCCACGTGCTGGCAGGGCGGTTCCATGACCCATGCTTACCTTTATTCCAATAGGGTCTCTGTTTATGAAAACATTTATATATCAGTTTTCTTCGAAGTTCCGAAAATTCCCTTGACTCCCACCATCAGAACCAAGTTTGCAAACGCTTCTACGAGGGGCTCTTTCCATGTTCTGTCACTTTAAACATGAAGTATATGTTGATCCTCGTCAACAACCCTTATCTACACTGATGAGGCACGATTATCTAGTCGCTAACCGGTCTCGCGCTTGACCAGTATATTACAGATAACGGACACTTTTCACATGAACGTTGGCAGCTATTTTATTTTACAGTTCCAAAAACACTCAGGCAGTTGATCCTTTTAGCACCCTAATTGGGAAGCCAGTTTTAAATGAATCGACATCTTTGACCTATGAAATGTGCGCGTAGTTAAAAATATGACTGTCAACTTCGTGGAGTGGAGCTTGTCTGGTAAAATGTATCTGTCCTTTAGTTTTTTAGTTATCTTGGAGGACTCCAACTTAAAAAAAGTGCCCAAGGGCAAAGTGAAGCTTCTAATAAACTATGACGAAGCTACAAATGAATATATGTTTTTGAGCAAGCAAAGCATATTAAAATAATCCGTGATTAGATTTGTCTTTAGAGCAGTTTAATGAACTTCAAAAGTCAGTGAAAGCTGCCCAAACGGCATTATCAAAGTCGCGTGGTTAAACCTAGGCCTTTGGACTAGCTTTACATTTTTACTTGTCTGTCAGTTGACAGACACTTCCCCAAATAAACCAAACTATGAACAAAAATTGTTCTTCGACTTTCAAACTTCAACAAACGCTACTCTCTTTCCACGTTCATGTAGTTTGCTGTGCTTTTAGTATATAGTCATGCTCAACATGGGATTTATTTTTATCTGTTAATTTCGCAACATTAAGTCGGCAAATCCCCATCCAGCCCTGTTTTTCACAGTTGACTTTGCGAATTTCGTGCATGACAATTTTCATGGCCTTTGAGAGTTACTCGTTGTTGCATTACCTCAACTCACTTTTGGCTTTCAGTTAAACTCCCTGTTTGTGTAAGATTTAGTTATAAACGTGTTGTTAGCTACAGTCGAATCTCATCATTATTTACCAAGCAGTCAAAATTATTCAAATACCATGACTGGCTGTAATTGATTACGTTCCCCACATTTCCGTTCGACACGTTTCGTCAGGTTTCTTTGCGGATAGAGTGCAGTGAACCGAGGGGAAAAGAAACATGCACTTTCCTAATACTGGGACTTTACATCTTTGGTGGCTTTCTGTTGCGTTGAATAGTGTGGGTTTTTCCATAATTCAGCACGTATCTACGTCAGCCCTCGGAAGATATTGTTCTGCATTTTCTGCATCAGTGGTGGAGACAATGGGCTAAACTTTCTGTTGTATCATCCCCGATTAGCAAAAGTAGCGCCGCGGACCGCCAGCAAAAAGATTTCTGATTACTTATGAGGAACTTAAATTTCTATGCAGTTACTTCAAATCCAGTCTGTCAACCCATATAGTTAAGTAAATAACATTTTAGTAGTAGTGTAAAGTCGTCTGCCCATAAATTGTATCACCATTTACAGACTGACTTCAGCTGCCTGAAAATGCGACCAGTATGTCTGCTCCGCTCGGCCGAGATGAAGCCCAAATGTCTTAGACCTGGCTGCCGATTAACCGATCTTTCGGCAGTCCGCATAGGATAGAATGTCCCCTTCAACGACAATGAGAAATAGCAGGCTCCCTAGTATGCAGAATTGGCGTCCGGAGATTACTAGGTAGTAATACCTTAAACTTTGATCAATCGCTTACCCAACGGATCGGAAATAGCTAAAATAATCACATGCCAAAATCATGATGAAGGGAAAATGTTGTCTTCTAGCAATTAATGTTTTACAGATTGGGGCTCTATCTTGCAGCCTTCGCCCTCGTGCTAATTTGGCTAATGGAGACCAACAAGTTTTTAGTACCTTTTTCGGTCTCGGCTTACTAAGTATACGTGTAGTCGGTCACTCTAACGTCAGTTAAAATTAATTTTATAAACCGAAATGCGGTTCAGACACTTTTTCCGCTACTACAGATGCTACTATCTGTAAGCCTTATCTCACCCTTCATCTGGGAAGTCTTAATCATCGCATGTCCCTTAAGCTTTGTTAATCTTTCGTCAAAGGACTGCTATTCGGTCTGTGTAAAATTTAAAAGAGCAGTATTACGACTCGTTAATATGTATGCATTAAATAGTAGCAAGTCCAGTCGACAATATTCTCGGGATCCCCTTCCCAAAAAATCCAAGTGTCTTCTGCGCCCAAAGTTCTGTTTGCGTCCAAAAATGTAACATATATATCAGCTGACATTGAACGTATTCAGCATATTTCAAAAAGTGATCTGTTTTGGAAATCTTGTGTGGTTTGAAGAAAACGCAGACTTGCCACAGAAAGCATAATATCCTTGCTTACTGCCTATGACTCTTGCGTGCCGAAAACTTCACCAATGAAGGAAGATATATGGTTAAGATGCATTTCTGGGCAGTTCCAAAAAATAGCCACTTAAGAAGCCCATTATATTCTGATCTTTCGATTTAGGGGCGGCACGCCAGTCATGTTTTGTAGACGTCTAATTTAACTCAGGCGTTTTTCCAGTATAGAAAACTCGATTGTTGTATGACAGTTCGAACGTCGTTGCCGCCGATATCTACCGTGTGCCCCACAGTAGGCTGAGAGGCGGCACGGCGACTTTTGCGTGAACTAGTTTATCTGGTATCTGCCGTACCTTCTCCTCTCTCCTCGCCCGAACCCGGTATCAAGACATGTTCAAGAAGACCGAAGGCGGGAGGGGGCGCAGGTTGCTTACATGGCCGGACCCGTACTTAGACGTGCCACCCACACCCCATGGTCCACAACTAACACTTGACCAGGATGCTTATCAACGTTAAAAACCGGTCAGAAGGAGGAGGTTGACAGAAGTCATTGGGCAATCCTGCACACAGCCTATACACTCAGCGGGAGCGCAAGCGCAAGTGCCGGCAGGGAATCATGTGCCAGAGGGCTGTCGGCGGTCACCAGGCTAACGGGTCATGGTTTGCTGAATCGTGGCTTAGCACACGCAAACGATCGGGAAAACATACTTATAACTATACACTAGACTTAAGTAGCACCATCTGTCGGCAATTTTTCCGGACTGTGTAAGGATAAAGAAAGGTCATAACTCGCTTTTTCGGCTGATTTGGCACCAAGACAGTCGAATATGTATATCAGTCCAATGAGCGCCCCCTCTTGCGTTATTGCCCCGGAATAGGGAAAATGTCTTGGTCACAATAACAGCCAGGTAGTCTTTAGTGCTAAAGATTAGAAAAAGTGAGATGATGTACTAACTACGCAAATTCGCCGGCAATATTTGTACGGCGCTACCAAAAAATTCCGAAACAAATTCGTTGTAGAACTTAGTCACGCCTCATTTGACCATGATCACAGGAGACTGTACCGTATGCTTAGGCAGTGTGCTCAGAACTCGCCTGTTTCAGCAGCTAAAGATAACCAAGTTAGGATATTAAGGTCATCAACAAGAGACATCTGAGCGGCGTCTTGACCCGACGGGCTAGGCCTCCTTGGCTTAAGCGCACGTTGCAGATGCGCCGACGCTCACAGTTTTCGTTCGACACTAGTCAGAGACCTGAGAGCAATGCTCATTATACAACTTGGAAACTACGGGTTAACAGTGCTTCTTACCCCAATTTGAAATAACTAAGTCATAATTTTTACGCCAACTAACATTTGAAATCGCAGTTGTCTTGCAATTCGTTTCTTGAGGCACTTCTGTAGCAATTGCATACTAAGCTTGTGATTTTGCTAAAACAACCTTGAAACCGGCCCAAGGCATTATACGATTCATTACCGCCTAACTGTTTCTACATAGAGCAGCAATCAGTAAAGTCGTACAAAAGTTCTTCTCGCCGATCAATCTTGGTTATTAAACGCTAACTATGTGTCCCGTTACGCCTTTGACCTCCGTTTCACAGCCTTTGGTGGCTACCACCCATCTAGTTGTTTATATACCTGTAGAGATCGAAGTGACCGTTCCTGTAACCATCGATGGTATAATCAGTAAGTAACTGGGTCTAGAGTAAGGGTATTGCTTCGTAGTGACAATCCATCTTTCCGTCCTATATCTCTTTTTGGGCTTAGTTCAACTTTAATATGTAGATTGATGATTTATTTACGAGTTCAGGACGAGAATTTAAGGGTTCTCCGCTTTATTTTGATTCCGAATTTGTGATACTTTATCACGAAACACGAGAAAGTTGACCGCCGTAACAGTGAAAATACCGTTACATAAATTGTAAGAATAAAATCCTAACTGCGTGAACTTGAACTTGAAAAGTTCAGTCGCGTCATTAAAGGAAATTAGGGGACGGTGTCTGTATACGAAAAAAATAAACACGGGAGAATTTAACTGTTAATTTGAAAGTCCTAGTACTCGGGCCTTGAAAATTAAAATAAATTGATGTAGAGATTACTGCCTAGCTGGTGTAATGACGCATTACGGGGGGACGATCACTGGTTGGCGTGGAGCCGCCATATCGGCTGACAATGCCACCACGATGTGCATCATCCTCCAGAGCCTGACTGCTTAGGCAACCGACGCGGCCCACTGCGGCAGGGTTGCGGTATTCCATACGCTCTGGAACGTCAATGCCCAGATCACCTGTGCTTCGGCGGGTGCAGGAACAGGTCCCAGACTTGTCTGCGCAAGTGCACGCTCGTTGTCTTCGATCATCACTGAACTGGCTACGAACGAGAGCCAGCTGGGTTTACAGAAAACAATAAATTATCAAAATATCACCGAACAACTGGCCCTTCTACTCTCAAAATTATAAGGCATTTCAACATTTGCCAATTCCTCCTGGTAGTGTTCTTACACAACCCATAAGTATCTTAGTTCCCAACACTCATGGGAATTGTAAGGCTTCATGGGACGATAAATGTGGAAATGTAGGTGCAGGGGATGCTACTTAGCTGAATTGCATACACCACGACTGTGGAATGTCATTTGTAGCCTGTTCAGGAGAGCCTTTTGCGCGGTCTTCGATTCTCTGGGAGTCGTTGACTCTACCTATAGGTGCCCAAAGAAACTCTTGGGGCTCCCAAGTTTTACTTCTTTTCCCAACTTGAAGTTCGAACTTAGAGTTTGGCTGTTGTCAGTTTACTTTAATCAGAAGCATTCATTGACCAAGTATCCTTCTCCAAATACGGTGTGTCATAGTACGTCTACACTTAACAGATACAAGTGGTAGAAAAAGTAATGTTATCAATTTACAAAGGATGCTCCGGACGTCCAAACCCCCAAAAAGTCAGAGAAGTCCTGGTGACTGTGAAAGACTCCGGTTAGGTGAATATTGTAACGAGACGCACAACTAGTCAGAATGAGAGCCCCATGCGGTCAAAGTAATATTTTGTCCTCCCAGAACACAGCGACAGTTTACACTGCGAGAACTTAATTTGGGCTTTTCGGGCCGCATGTTTGGAAGTGCGCAGTTACGAGTGTTTCTTTATCACTATGAAAATTAAAGAAATTTCGTTAGCGAAAATTTAACGCACACCTAAGAAATCGCATGACCATAATGACTGCGAAAGTGTGTTTGGTATAAAGTACGTCTGTAAAAAACAAAAATCTAAATGAACTCCACAGGACTCTCTGGGCTGGTGCGCCGTGACTGCAGATATTTTTCAGCTCCCCTTTCTGCCTTGAGGGCTTTTCACTGTCCCGTTAATGGCATATCGGTGGCAGTGCGTCGCTTGCGCGGGGAACCAGTTCATGAGTAAGGACCAGTAATGAGTCTGCGTGGCGATTTACCTCTCGGGCAAACCATCGGCTCATCTTTAATCGACATCGATTTTGTTCTAATTGAGTCTACTGCAGATTTTTGAGCCGTCTCCGTGAAAACTGTATCGTGAAACCCAGCAAACCGAGCTAAGTCAGTGTGCCTGTTGATCGAACTGGTATTCGAAAATCTGTCTTTCGGACTTCTGGCTTCCCAGACCCAAAATAACCGTTCCTCTGAAGTCGGAAATATCGCCAGTGTCTTCTACATTCGGGCAAACTGGGAGTTAGGACCCAATCTGCCAGTCAAGAGCTGATCACTGCAGAGGTGAGTTCACAGTTGCGTCCGGCTTCCTTAGAGTAGTTGCAGTTGCCTCATCCCAGCAGTTTTTTAAACAACTGCTGACATTTTAGCCAGTGACTATGGATCTTTTGGTTGTGTGGCTCGGCGGAGTATTGCAACCTGGGGTCTATGAACCAAATCTACTCTGATGGGTTTTGACAGTCGAGAGACTGCCTCAGGGATCTTCTCAATGTAGGAGAGGACATTTGAAATTTCGGGTTGCTGTTCTAGAATACCTGTTCGTCTGATCATTAATAGTTCAATGTGTGTTTGCCTGAACTGACTTACTGTATATGCGTTTGTTTCCTCAGATGGACCGATACAAGGTCTAACCGGATTATCAAAGTTTACGAAGCAGTGTAGCTGACAGGATAAACTTACACGGTGCACACATGATTAAACACTTATTACCTGGTCCTCCAATCCCCTCACGCGTTGGCGGTGCGCACGCTCGCGGGCTTCGAGTGCGCGCTCGGCCTGCTTAAGGCTCTGGCGCAAGCGGTCGACCTCGTTTCCTGAGTCAGTTCGCTGCTGCATTGTCAGCTGGTTCATCCTCTGCGTGTATGTCTTCTCCAGTTCACTGAGCTTCGCCTTGATGTGAATAAAAGGTGAGAGAGATGTGACTAGAGAGCTGAAAGCAACTAATGTTAGACCTACATGAGAGGACTATAATCTAATTGTAGGGAAGTTGGTGCTGTTGCCGGTCTCATGTGGGGATGCAATAGTTGAATCGCGCCTTCTGTCTCCCTTAGTCCAGTTGTGCCCTCTCATTAAAAGACCTGCCATATAATTTTGTTTTATGCCACAAGCATTTTGTACAACTTAAACAGCTATTAGAGACAGAGGGTTCACAAACGTTATGATATATGTGTTATTTGAAATGCAGCTATCGATGAGAACACTGACGCCCTCGGGAGAAATTGTGTCAAGTTGTGTCCCATGAATTACAGGGTGTTTGTGCTAGGGCCATTTTCAGATCCAAAACCGTTAAGAGGACGACGACACGCAGAAAAACCGAAAAATGCTCTTATCTGAAGCCACATTCGCAGCGGTGAGGCTTGTAGGGGAGCACGACTTTTTCCAGCGAACTGAAAGGTGTTCACCACACTCGTCAAATTTTAGTAGACTCAGTGGCCGCGGCGGCAGCCAGTTCGTTCTCTGGCTCGGGTCTCTGATTTTTCGTAAGTGCGGGCAAAGTCAGCCGGGAGGCAGCACACAACCAATAAGGCTTTTACATCTAATTAGGCTATTCATCAGTTCTCTTAACAGCCACCTGTAGAATCGCCATAACTGGTAAAACAGAGGCGTAAAATTAGTAGATTTGGAACCCCAATGCGGCTAATGTACCTTCTTTATTATTCATCATCTCGCCCGTACGATTATATAAGTAATTTGCAGTAAAGCAACGATAGTTTAAACAGCCAATGCACAGTAGTCGTGTGGGAACGGGTTGCGGGCAGTCAGACATGTATGAAACAACAGGTATTATAGTCTAGATCTGCCAGGGTTGTGGGGAGATCTACCAGTGCTTACGCTCAGTTAAATAAATTACTACTAACGCTGCATTTTTAAATGATGATACTAATGGTTAATCCGGTCGAAACGCTGACAGAGTTTTGCAAATGCCCACGTCTAATTAGTATCAATTCACTCCTATGTTTGTCAGGACATAGGAGCAAAAGGCAGAGGTCGCTCATAAGTATTATTGTTGAAGGCAAGGAAGGATGGAATAGCTGTATTTTGAATAATTGTTTTTTTGTAAGTCGACTATTCCACAGTCCTGGACCAGGGAGGCCTGAGATTTGAACACGGGTCGAGTTGCCCCTTGAAACTAACTCAGCGTCCTTCGAGTCAAGAACTTTTTCTGTCGGTTGCGATCGGGAGCCCCAAGACATAGAGGGACAAGTGAGTCCCGTAGCGCGGTGCGTGAGCGCTCCTCTACCACTGTATATCCTCGATCGCAACCGACAGGACGAGCCTCTGGCTCAGTGGTTTGGGCGTTATACTTCTAACACACGGGTCGCGGGACCGAGGCCCACAGGTTGGATGTGGCCGGCTGACGACAGCTAATAAGCCAGAACTGGCCATCCCAATCTCCCTCGCCTTTTACGGCAATGTTATCGAAGGTTTTCAAGGTCAGTCAGGAGTAGCACCTACTGACTGACCCGATTGCAGAATCGACCACAGTCGCTCCACTGTTCCTTGGAGCCAACAGAGAACAAGCATGAACATTAATGTGGCTGTGTGCTGCGCCTACTGACTAAAAAGAGCAGGTCTTACAGGCTCGGGGCTGGTATATGGGCATCTGAAGATGGTCCACAACTAATCCAACTGAAATATGGGGTCCTTTAATTCAAGATTTTGTCGTAGGTAGGCCTGAACGAAAAGTGCTCGATGCAGGGGGTCCTCGGAACTAGGATGAGCTCACAGACAATTTCCAAGAGATCGGTCTCAGAGAGGGGAAGTACTGCATGGGAGCTCAATCCCCGTGGCGTTGTTATCTTCAAGTTTTTTGTTCAATCTTCCATTTCTCCGTTGGAAACAATGAGCGTTTGTTCATCACTGTCGCCTTCCAATTGGGTTGCTACGCACCCACTCCTAAATTCGGCACATGCGACGTAAAAATGATGATGTTGGCTTATACGTCTGAGGACGAGTTACTGAAAGTCTATAAATTAAAATGGAGGCGGTACAACTTACACTATGTGCATGGCTTTACTTCCGAGAGTGCATGACTCGTTACTACAAACTAGGTTATATTTCTGTCTCAAACATCAACTGAATAAATGTAACTACGCAAAAGGACCGATCAAAAACTAAACCTGTGCACATTGCAACTGCTCCCTCAACTCCACATTTTCGTTCTCAATCTCACGAATTGCTGCTTTTGTACTATTGCGATCTTTTGTTGATCTGTTGAGAAAGGCATCAACCTTCTGCTTTTCCTTCTCTGTCTTCTCCAAATACCGTTTCAGCTGTTGATGATCCTTTTCGAGTTTACTGCTCTGTCTGATGAGACCCTGCTTCTCCAGGTCAGCCTTCGTCAGGGCCTTCTGAAGGGCTGTCATCTGCTCGACCATGGCTTGCTTTTCCTTTTGGCTCTAAAATTGTAAGAAGTGTCTCACAAAAAGTTGCTGAGCAGATCGAGCGCCGGCGTTATTATTGTAGACGACCTTAAACACGAAATATGCGTAAATCCACTTATAATTCCTTATGATTCGAAACCGATCCGAGAGTACGGACTATAATACCCAATTAAGAACGGATGACACTCCGTTAAATTAGAATATGAAAGGACAGTGGAAAGTAATATTAAGTTTATTAGAAACAAAGATTTTTCCAAAGGGCGCTGATGCTGAAAAAGTGTGCAGAGGGCTGAATGAACAGACGACCGTAGTGCATATCCATACAAACACAATAACGTCTAGAGACGTCCCCTCAAATGTTTTGTAGCGGTCAGATATCATGACCGGTCTGGCGTCATTTTTCACGGCCTCGCTGCCTCAAGGACATTGAACCCTTGCAGCGAGCCGTCCCAGACGAGCTAACCTGAAGTCACACGACCGATAGCTCGGGCATACCTGCGTCTACACAGCCGCAGCTGCTCACGAGGCCGCTTGAACGCACCATCCCTGTAACCAGCAAAGCAAGCCAATGGAACACCACCCTTCGGCAAATGCAACACACACTGACTGGACACCATTTGAGCTTGGCACACGAGCCTACAAAAGTGGCTGCCACCACTGGTCTCAGAGACTTTCGGGTATGACTGGCCGCAATCAACACCAGCCCTGGATTTGCCAGTGGCCACTGCCGCCTGAGAGGACAACTCCGGGTTCTGTATACATTAAAACCCTAATTCTGGTGCCTTCCGTCTTCTAATTCCAACTTGGGATCTGACCAGACGATGGTAGCATACAGACAGGGTCCACATTTTCACTGCCTATTCACCACAGTTTCTCTGGTTAAATATCCAACAAAAATTACTTCTATACGCGGCATTATTACGGGTCAACTGTCTGATTTATGAATGGTGTCGATACCAAAATACACTTAACGGGCATCTAAAGTTGCTTCGTAGGTGAAATTCCATCAGTACATTAGAAAGTTCTTTCCGCTAGCAGTTTTCGAATGACACAAATCTGACACTGTTCCCTGAAATTTCGAAATTTTGTCGATTTTATCATGACTAACGCCTGGATTGATTAACCATCACATATCAATATCACTTTGAGAAGCGATTCACCCCCGAAGTTTTCACTTTCTCCGTGCTTTCGTGCGTGTCTGCTTGTCAATATCTGGCAATGATGGATGGCTGGGCTCATTTAAAACAGCGTAATTTGTGTGTTATTTTTTGTTACCGAGGTCCCTTGACTGGGGGCTAAAAAATAATTTTGAGGTCTCAGAGTTGGCGAGAAGATGTTCTCCCACTTTAAAATAAAAGGTATCCTCTTATTACATCAATGATGTATTCAAAATAGTCAGGACTTTACGTGCAAAATCATTAACCTCTTGTGTTTTTACATGCAGTCGAATTCCCTTACGGTAATAATCGTCGTCCGCAGGTAGAAGTGTTAGTTTTGTATCAGTCGTTTTGCTTTCTTTTTCATTGCAAAATACAAAAATGGGTGCCTTGTCGAAGTGACAATCGATCATTTATAAGTCGGTTTTTCCGACGCTCTTTCGGACCATGTAAGTCTGATGATTTTCCATGTCTTTTGTTGATATCACTGCAGTTAGTTACTTTCGTCCCAAATTTGATTGGAAAACTTTCCGTAAATTCATTCCTAGTTCTGAAGTGTACTGATTGACTGACTTATTCACTTATACGTCTGTATATCTTGCTGGTTGCTGTCCATAAATACTTGCAACCGTCATTAGAAACTAATTGGTGAATTCAGTTTGGAAGCGAAAATGGAGGACGACACAGTACCTATCGGTTGTAAATGACATATTGCGCGTCGAATATGGTAAATGAAAGCAGGACTTTAAAGGCAATAATTTTCCCAACATAATAGCTATCACCGCGGCAGCCATCTCAAGTAACTGTCATCTACACATTCAGATGCCTTACGATATCCCATTTTGGAAGCTGTTAAATGTATCATTAGGAAAAACAAAAGCTTGCCATTAATTTATCACAGTACAGTTAATTCCCACTACCTAACGTATTTCGGTCCCCGTTTTTAATGGTGCAGTACGTGAAATCGTTGTTCAAAACGGAAGAGGGCTAAAAGTGATCGTTATCTGTAACCTACTTGTGACTGGTGAAGTCCTTCCTGTTCGAAGTAAGCACTGAGAGGAAAGCTCATCATTTTGAAATGGAACATTCCGAATCATTACAACCCGTTCACCAACGGGTGCCTAGTCATTTTTATTGCTTATTTTCAGAAGTAGATGCGTCTTTTGGACTGGAGATCTCAAATGGAAAATTAGTGTCTCTTGAAGTTGTCAGCAGAAATTTTGGTCGTCGAAATTTCCGGCAACTCAAAGGTACTCACATTTCTGGTTCACATAAACCGCCTTTTGCAGGGCTGCACGTCATGCAAAAACCGGTTTTGACAAACCATCGATTGGCACAGAGCCGGTTGTAGCAGGAATGAGACAGCCTAAAAGTTTCTGGGGGTAAACTATGCCTGCCAAAAGTTAGTCGAATTATTTGCTCACGGGACCGTGTGGGTGGTGGTTAAAGACTGAAAATATAATGCCAGTGGAACGCTCTAAAACTTGCACTGAAAAATACAGGAGTGCAACTACTGTTCGGGGAGTCTTAGTTTAATTACGGCCCCTTAGTGTTCCGCGCCAGCTAACTGTCACCTGATCCGTCAGTTGGGCTGCAGTTTCCCATGTCTACACATCGGGCAGGTGACCCACGTGTGCCGAAAAGTAATCGAATTACTAACCCAGGGAAGATGAGAGATGGTTGCGAATACGAAGAAAACGCGTGCCAGTGAGGGCAAACAAGGAAAAGTGAGCAGAAACTGGAGAGCTTGTGCTTACTGTGGTCAGAAGTTTATTCAATTCCTGCACGGCCTCCTGGTGCTTGGAGAGGAGACCGGCGGCCTGCTTAGCGTCACCGTCCAGGACCGCTCGTTGCAACTCCGTTTCTGCAAGCTCGGTCTCCATGGTGTGAATCTGTGCTAACAACCGATCACTCTCGCGTCTCGACTCCGCCAGCGAGGCTTGAATGGTTTCCAGACGGTCCTAATACAAGGATAGACTGGTCAGCCAAAATATAAGTTTGCTTCTCCGTGGCAAACAGACTGGACTTACACTCCCTATGAAAACGTTCTGTTTTGGCCAGTCGTGGGCAATTCAGTGTAAAAATCCGCTGGTGAGCTAAACCAGCTGTGCCTTCATGCAGCGAAAGTAATTGTTTATTTTTGAGCGAAGGAATTAGTAGCTTAAACTGTTTCGCAACAGCACTGAAAGCAACTGCCATACAAAAGGCAACCAACTAGGCCTGAGTAGAATGCGTGACTCCTTATGACATGCAGATTCACAGCGACCAAAGGTTCTCTACCTGTCCTTTCAAGATTTTATCGTTTTTTTTTCGCTTTCTGGCAGCTTGGCCGTCGTTTCCGACGATGTCCACCGTGTGCCCCACAGCAGGGACGGTGAATTGCGCGTGAATTAATTTATAATGGCAGCAGATTCGCGCTACATCTACCACACCCTCTGTTCCCTCACCCACTTGGGCTCAGTCTCAAGACGGATTCAGGAAGACTGGGGGAGGGGATCGGGCGCAGTGACCGACAAAGTCAAGCAGCCCACACACCACCTGGTTTCGCTATCTGCCGTATTAATAATAGCCCTGGTTATATGCTATTGTAGATTTTCGGTCTTCATCAAGACTTTGCGTTTGCAAATGAAAACATCCTATAACAGCATCCCTCAGTGTGAGCGTACTTTTTGTGGTTTAACCAAAAAGCACGTCCCATTACGAGAGATCAATAATTTGAATAAAAATTAGCCTTGTAGCAAATGACAGTGTGCCCATGTGGAGACTGAACCTCGAGTTATTAATATTGGCTGTCTTGCCTCTACCTTAACGGCTACTTGTCAAGTATGGAAAGGCATCAAACTGATTTGTTATGTTACGTAGGCCTTGAACTTGCACTTGAAATGTGAGATGGCAAATGGGCTATCCCACCAGTGTATTTCTGTCAAGCTGGCCAGAATAGGTGATTTGTTGCAATTTTTCGGGCTTTATATTCATTGCAAAGTCGACCAGCCTGTGCCATCAGTATCAAAAGTGTGTACACATCATTTGTTTTGAGAAAGGATTTTTTACAAAAACTATATTTTCGAACACTCAAAAACACACCGACCAGAACCGCGAAAGAACTCGTTCAAAGGCATCTTGAAAGCGAATCTAGACTGTGGCATGAAAGAAGAAAGGGCTGTTTTGCCCAAGGCCCCCATACGTCTTATAAAAGAGAACTAGGCATTGCACAAATAAGGTAGAAACAAGGTGAATTTCCAGAGTGTTTACAACGACCCGTTGTTCGCGTGCTGAAGGTGAACTCCGTTGGCCGGTGCGATGCGTGCCGTTGTTGATGCGGCGGTCAGTATTGGTGGGATTGGAGTGCCAGGCCCCGAGACGCTCCCAAAGAGCCCTCGCCAAGCACTCCTTAGAAGTTTTCGTGTCCATCTCCTATGTCAGTACACTGCCACAGCAGCGGATTTCATGACGTCAACGCGCCGTCCGTCCTCCCACAGGCACGCCTACACCGATCCTAAACACTATTGGTTGACGTCACCCTCACTCCTCCCCCTTCCCACAGTGTGAGAGAACATCGATTGTAGCCTACCCACCCCAACTGTAACTACTGGATTTAATGTCGTTGCCCGCTCACCCAGGGCGTCTCTTGGTCCTCCCGTAAGTCGGAGCCTCCTGCCCTCCAGTCTCCAGCTTGCGAGCAAAGCTTCTAGTTGGTTGACCTGACGGTATTGTCGCGAGCAGTCCAAATATACACGAGCAGGGCCTTGCCTTCATAACGTCATCATAACGTCATCCAAGGGAACTCTGAGTATTGTGGATGGGGGTTTTCGCGATCAACTAAGCTATGGTTAGTAGATGCCAGTCGTGCTGACTATTTTTAGTAGAATTAGACGACCTTCCGAAAACTCCTTCATCTTTTCTATAAATAAATGAAAAGTATTGTTATATCGCAAAATTAGACTTCTAACTAACCATGTGCGCTGGTTTAGTGTGAAGAACTTGCCTGCAGCAAATGCTTTTCTTTTTCGCAGGCTGCCAAGGCTTTCTGTGTCTTTCTCAGACGTTCATTAGCCTCCTCAAGGGCACGATTGTTTTCAAGAATCGTCATACTGAGCTGATCAGTCTTTAACTTGAAACCTTTTGCGTCTTCCTCAGTTCTGGATTGTGCGAGGCTGAGTTGATCAATCTTTAGCTGAAGTGACGAGCATTTGGCATCCAGCTCCTTAAAAAGGAATTATCATAACAAAGAAAGTTCGGAAATCCGCACAACACAGCAAACGGGATCACTAAGAAGTAGCGCTAAATCTTTGGCTGTATGACCTCTTCTATCCCATGCAAAAAACCTAATTGGACACTTGGTTAGTTGTCGGCAAATGAACTATTCGAAAAATCAATCTTTCTTTTGAAACATACACATTGGCTCAGTTACTCGGTGTTTAGAGGCGTTGGATTTCTACCTAACAGGTTGCAGGATCGAGCCCCAGATGTCCCACGCTTTGTGGTTTGGTACGACTGGCTGACGACGGCTAATAAGCCAGAAGTGGCCATTCCAGTCTCCCTTGTATTTGTCGGTAATACCATTCTACACAATTGTTTGTTGAGCGAGAGTGAACACACAACATTTCCTTATGCGTTTCTTGATCATGCTAATAGAATGGCTAATTTAGGGAACGGTCGGTTGTGTGTTATACATAAACCGAGTCACACCAATTTTTCGATTTGTTTGGTTGTGCTGAGTAACACTGTAATCGTCTGCCTCTTGTCCATTTTCCGCCGAGAAATTACGCTGTTGTGTCCAGTTTCCGTGAGGATCGAAACGCTGGGCATACATGCGAAAATAACTTTATCGGAGACATTTTTCACAGTAGGGTAACGGGCAACTGAGTGAAAGTTTACACAGGACCTGCGCTTGCCGATTTAGAATGGTTCCTGCATAAAGAATACTTTTGTTTTTACTTGGGACTAGAGATCGGCGTCGATCAATCAGTTGCTTAAAGTCGGTGCAAGGGAGACTGAGATTGACATTTCGAGCTTATTTGCTGGGCCTCACAGATTTAAGTCCTGGCTCTGCGCGTTCACTATTTCCTATAACCCCTCTTCGTAAATAAATGTTGCAGGCGATGAGTAGTTTGACCTAATGAAACTTGTACGATGGAATTAGTCACACTTATTTGTGGTTGTATGGTCGAAATATATGCAGCAGACTGCCCATTTTCTTGGGAATAACTTGTCTTAGGAAGCTAGAGGGTAACCACTGTGCAAGCATCGCTTGCTACGTTCGAACAAACAACAGGCATATTACTTCTATCCGAAATTCTGATGATGCACCCCGTTATACCTGTCTCTTTTTTGTAAGGACGTTGTTCTTCTCCTTGATGTTGGCACTTTCAGCCTCTCTGCTTGCGGCGATACACTTGTAACGCTGAACCTCCGCTTCCAACGACTGACGTAAAACTTCCAGCTGGTTGATTCGATTTTCAGCGTCCTCAAGGGCGTGCCTCAATTGGATCTTCTCCTCCTCCTGTCGAGCCTCCGACTGCTTCAGCTTGGTGACCATATCCTGAAAAGGGCACACATTTTACGGCTGTACTTGAAATCGATAGGTCCATTCGGACACCCCTCTAAGAGGGTGTCTATTAAGACGAAATTATAGCAAATTGAACGTAATGCCTTGAAGGATGGGGTACAAGCGTAAACCTAAGACGCACATAAAGGCAGAAAGTCAAGCAAATTAATGAGCCTCCACATGCCTGTTCCTGGCGCTTTTCCGACTCTGAACCGGCTAAATTCCTTTCCAGCTGACTAATCTTCTCGGCTAGCAATTTGCGGTCCCGTTCATTCTTCCTCAGTGTCTCCTCCTGCAGCATGAGGGCCTTTTGCGCGCTCGCCAATCTCCCATCAACTCCTTTCTTATCTGAAAAAGTAAAAGGAGAATGGGGAAAGCACGCGAGCCTGAGGCAATATCTACCGTTCAGGCTACGGTCATCTTGGTTTGACAGAAAAGGAAATGGGATGTTCTCGTGCCTGTTGGTCCGCTCATCCAACCCTGACTTGTTTCAATTCAGAAAACCAAATACTACGACGTAGGTCAGACTACATTTTAAGTAGAAACTAATGAATTGGACGCATAAGGTGGGCCAGCAAGTGGAGAGATCAGTAGTGCACCCGAGGAAGGAAAAAAATTTCCCCCTGATGCAATCGCTGCCAAGAAATCAATTAAAAATATGCGACGTTCTTAATATTATCGGGGGCAGTGATGTAGATGTCGCCGAAGTCTACGAAGATTACTAAAATCTTCAGCACTCACCTGTGTAATCTGTCGGGTATTTCCTTAGGTTTCCCAAATGGTTAGTCTCACCCATTCATCTTAATTTTGCTCGAATATCCTAACCTCAAAGTTGGCGTACTTCTACGCCCCGTCATTGTTCAACTCCGAAAGAGTGATACGCAAATCAATCCTCGATTATGTGCGTTATGTTCACAACGGAACTTGGTAAGAGGCAACATTCAGACCACTCATGCACAAAGTAGCTCCTAATATTGGCTTCGCTTTCGTTCCTCACGTTCTAAGACAAAATTAAGAGTGCATTTTTTAGTTGTGACATCTGGAAGAGAAGGCGAACAATGTAATTGTATACTTTGGTGTGCATAAGATTCTTGTTGCAAGCGGCGATTTTCCGACTATGCTTGGGATAATTATCTAGACAATGCGTCTTTTGAAAGGCTACCCATCTGGGCACTCAAAAACGCTTAGAACCTGTATTAACGGGCATTGTCTGAACCATGAAACAATGACCTCAAAAACTGTCGCCACGTGCATGGGCAGTGAAGCATTGTCAAGCGGAATATCCAATCGAAAGAATTATCATGAAAAATTAAATTTTATGGATTTCGACTAGAA